TGCAAATATCACCTCCTAATAAGGGATGCAGTATGTAAATATTTATTTGCAACACTTCTAAATCGTTTTTTTAATGCAAATATCACCTCCTAATAAGGGATGCAGTATGTAAATATTTATTTGCAACAGTTCTAAATAAAATTTGTAATTACCTTCAGCATAGTCATCATCAGGAGGAAATCTGACACTTCTCATGGTACCTTTAGCTTCACACTCATAAGCCTTCAGTGTTTCATCTGAGCTGTATGAAGTTCCTGGTGGTGGAGCGGCAGCGCTAACCGGCAAGTGGAGATCCCCTTGATCTTCGTCTGCTGATGAGTTACTGCATCTAGCTTGTGCTTGGCGTTCACGTCGTGATCTCACTCCCGAGATTTTGCTTTTTCCTTTATTATCCATCCCAAATTTTTCTACTTCGATGTTATTTCATTTATATTATGTTGGAATGTTTTTTTTTTTTACAATAGAGCTGTAAGTAAAAAAAAATTCAGGTAAATATTAAAAGATCCCATAATTAATGTATCTGTGGGTCACAATTAATTGACATTCTATATGTCTATCGCATCTTCATCAAACTGTTTTAAATTTTTTGATAAAAGGGACACTGAATTTGGACAAAACATTTGAAAACACATGTTTATTCAATGATTTAACAGAAAGCTGTCTTATAAAGTACATGTAGTAGTTCAATTGGCAGTGCACAGAGGGTAAGTCATGCAGATATACATTGTAGATATATTCAGGTGAGTTAAGTTTTTTGAGAAACGCAAAGCCAAACACAGTACTAATATCACGCACATACAAACTCAAACTGCAATCAGTGTATAAAATAAAATAAATTATGGTATACAAAGAGATGTGCATCTTCAGAATTAGTCACCATTTTAACAAAAGCTGGGAAAACATTTAGTTGACAGATGCAATGTCAGAGTTTATCCATTGTAGTCTGATTGATGACCAGCTCGTGGTATGACTCCCAATCTCACAAGTCAGCCATGAACAAAAAACAAAGTATACTGACATAAATAATACGACAGATGTTGTATATTGATATTGTCAAAAACTTGGTAAAATGTTTGCACTATTAGAAGATATCCATTGAGGATGGATTTGCAGAGATAGGCTCATCATACACAGGCTCAGTTACCATAGAAACTGTAATCGAACCAATCACATTACAATTACATGTAACACCTGTAACAAAGTATAGTCAGATGTCACGTAATTTGTAAATAGAGATGGTTAGCTAATTTTTATAAGTGGTTCTTAATTTGAATTTTCAATAAAAAACATAACCATTATTAAAAAGGCACTTTTAATACATAGAACATTTTTATAATGTGATTTCACCCACCCTGTCATCAATTGAGGCATTATCTAGACAGCAATAAACAACTTTGTTTCTTGTCAAATTCAACTGGACAGTCCACGTAAAATGGAAAATTGTCTGAGCCAAATGTCTATTCTAATCCCTATATTATTTGTACAACAAACTGTTATAGAGGTCTCAACTGAGAAAAATGGTTCAGTTTACAGAGGTGTTTAGTGAATAGAGGTCTTAAATGAAACCTGTCTAAACTGAACTCCAATGGGACTGGGAAAATTGTTCAGTTTACAGAGGTGTTCAGCTTATAGAGGTCTTACACTAAAACCTGTCTAAACTGAACACATAAGAGACTCAGTAAATTGTTCACTTTACACAGGTGTTCAGTTTACAGAGGGTTTGATTTATACAGATTTCTTCTATTAGTGGCAGCACAAGTCATATTTTGATATTCCAGGTGATACAGCGAATGCATTTTTTGTTTTATGTGTATTTTTATACACACAAGAAAAGTAAATTTTTTTTTGTTTCATGGTATACATACAGTGTATGGGTACATATATAATAGAAATTTGATTTATTTGAAACAACCTATCCTTTGACCTGCCATTAAAAGCCCTACACACTAATGTAAATGTGATTAAATAATCCCTGTTTTGACAGTAATTGTGAAATCCTCGAATACCAAGAGATCAATCAATTTCAATTAGCTCTGAAGTTTTTTTAGGTCGCTGCAGCTAAAAAGAATAAATAAATCATTAATTAGGCAGTCTCTCACGACTCCCCGGCTGCTTTATCGTTTTAATATCCTGCGTAAGTACAATAGTATGGGAAAGTTGACTCCAGTCTACTAGACTATCGTTAACACTCATAATCCATTTCGAGAGAAAAAAAAAATTGTTGACTATTGTACGGCTGGTAGTGATGGGACAGTAATGGCTATAATGTTGCAATGAATTCTGGGAAGGTAAATCATAGGATAAAGTTCCTATTATTGGATTTCAGAACACTGAGAGAGATAACATGATCAGGGCTCAATATTCATGAGGTCAATTACCTAGATACATTAGTTGAATACAAAATAATTCGTTCACAATTTCAGAAATGTTGGCCTTGGAATTGCATAAGTTCAAGTTCTGTATCATCATCAATTAAGAAGAATAAATCTCAGAAAACTGGTTTTACTGAAAAGTAAAAATTGAGTATGGTGAAACAATTGTGACCTTGCTATGTGGCAGATTAAACATTGAAACTAGGGTGAACTAGCTATGTAGTAGAATAAACATATGAAAACTATAGTGAGCTTGCTATGTGACAGATGGCCACAGATTAAAAATATTGAAACTATGGTGACCTTGCTATGTGGCAGATTAACCATATTGAAACTATGTTTATCTTGCTATGTGGCAGATTAACCATATTGAAACTATGTTTATCTTGCTATGTGGTAGAATAATTATATTGAAACTATGATTACCATGCTATGTGGCTGACCAAAACATAGTTAAACTATAGTGACCTTGCTTTGTGGTAGAACAAAACAAAATTGCAAATATAATACAGTAGAATTATTAACATGGAAATGTTTATTGTTTAAGGTGATTAGTGGGACAACGCTCTTAAAGTCAATTCGTGAATCGTCACAGTCACAGTAATTTGCTCAAGATTTTAATGTTTCTGGCAAGAATAAAACCCATTTTACAAATACCATACTCGACTGCGTGATCATGATTTTTTAGGGGTGGGCGATTACCCAAGCACCCTCCTCGGTAAAGAGAGCAAATGACAGTTTTAGTTCACCATGTTACAGATTGTGGGGATATTACGACTTTGTGGAAAAATAAAATTATGAAATTTTGATAGAATACATTGTGACGTTTGTATTGCCGACATATAAATGTCCCTGTTATTCTTTTGGAAACTATTAAATCAATGGCAAAAGTTTCATTTTTGAAATTTCAAAGTTTGTTTGTTAGCTGGTTGAATATATAATTTTGAAAATAGTTTGTTCCAAAAAAGTATCAATAAAATCAAAATGGTCTTAATGACTGGATTATTGTTAGCAGAATCATTTTGTTTTTTAAATTGTATATATATTGTTTAATTTATAATTAGATGGTCAGGTCCTTGTTTTTGAAAGCGACACATACTCATACTCAGTCACCATAATAGAGTTAAAATTTATTAGTTTTGATTAAAACCAATCAAATTACAACAAACAACTATTAAAGGAACTTTTTCAAATTCAATTACTTAATACCACAACAATATTATATAGCCTAATGTTTAATTTTTACTTAATAACACTTTTGAATACATGCATGCATTGGTTTATTAGGATCAACAAAATATCCTCTGAAACTAAAAACAAAAACTTTCCAATCCGCTCGTACATGGCACACTTTACAAAATTAAAGGAAAAATGATTAGTCAGGAACAGGTTACAAACTGCACCCTTGATGACAAGAAGCAAGACCTTCTTTTTTTGGCCTATGATTTCTCAAAACTGTATTGACTTCCAAGTTACCATATTTGCTTTATTAAAAGCACATGCACTTATGACAGAGGTCTGTGGTCAACACATATTTGCAATATATGTATTTTTTATTTATACAAGTATGCACTTCTACTGGAGATGTGCTTCTGATAGAGCACAATGTGATAATGTTTGTTTTCATTTTTTGTTTGGAGAGAGTAGAGGGGCAATGTATAATTGAAATTGAAATCAAAAATACTAGTACTTAAAATGACAAAATATCAAGTCACACGAGTTTCAGTAATAAAGCAAGAAACAAATTATGATATCAACAAAAATTTCATCACGGATATGAATTATGTTGATATAGATACAAATAATGACATCATTGATACATATTATGTTGTCATGGATACAAATTATGATATAGAAACACATGTTGTCATGGATACAAATCATGACACCATGGATACACATGTTGTCATGGATACATAATATGTTGTCATGGATACAAATTATGACATCATAGATTCAGATTGAGTATCCTTTAGTCTTTAAAACAAATCAGGAAGGTGAGGTAAGGTGCATTATGAAAGTAAAATGGCAGCCTTTCTAAAACTCTAGAATAATAAATATAATTTTGCTTTTCTTTATTCAATGAGTCATGCACATCTATACAGACTAAACCAATTACAGTGTGAGAAATTAATGATTGAACACAATACAGCATCAAATCCAGACAGCAATCCTGTAATAAGATAGGCAGACCCCATAAAGTCACCCCATCAGAGTCGGTAAAAAAGAAACTGATACACAATGAATAGGAAACAGTTAGATACATATCTCACAAAACATAAAACTCCACATTTGTGTTTGGTATTGGTACATGTAGATTGGATGGAAATACATTGTAAACTTGAGTTCTATGCACCCACACTGCAACCACAACTATTGATATGATTGTATATATATATATATATATATATATACATCATGTACACACTAGCTACTTGTGTTGAATTTTGAATTAAACATGAAATAGGTTGTCAACCAGTTATAACTATCAATTCTATTAACATTTGTTTATTTATTATGCTGTATGTCCACCTATAGACGTAGCAGTACATCCATGGTCTACCCTACTACCCTAGCTCATCCCCACCCAAGCAGTAATTCAATAAATGTGAACTGTACGTATTGAAAGCAGTTTTATTCAAAGACTTTACAACTGTCTTGTCTGTCTATAGTCAAAATAGGAAGCAGCAGTCTATATAAATGCATTGGTTTACAACAAACTCCCCTGGTATCCAAGCATGCTGGTTTTCCCAGATCTGAGGAATGAAACTCCCATGACAACAATAGAGCTTACTGTCATGCAAATAGCATACATGATGATTATGCAAATTAGATGTAGACAGGGATTCCAAGCAAACAATAGAGCTTTTTGTCAAGCCAATAAAAATACTAGTACATGATGATTATGCAAATTAGATGTAGACAGGGATTCCAAGCAAACAATGGAGCTTTTTGTCATGCAAACAAAAATACTAGTACATGATGATTATGGAAATTAGATGTGGACAGGGATTCCATCAAACAATAGAACTTTTTG